CAAAAAGAATGATCATAGATTATTGTAATTAAGGAATACTTACGTGACAGGTGTGTATATCTCCTTCACACCAATAAATTTAAGCTGCCCTGTAATTTCTGGAAGGCTTTCACATCTGGACAGATTGATTCTGGGGTAGTACAGGAGATACGACAGACACATTTCGTCCCTGGTACTTAATCCACCCTGTAATAAGACACATTTCTAACTGCCACCTAGGTGAACATCATAAACAAGAACATACAATGCTTAAACAAAACAAAACATCAAAAATGAAAAATAATTTTAATTGAGGTGTGCATTTCTGTTTATGAAGTGTCTTAAAAAAGTAATCTACTGTATGTAGATTGTTTTTGCTCATCTCCAGATTATAGCCATTGTTTTTCTCATTGTAAATGATCAGCACTGGTAAGAAGGTATTTTAGGTATCATATAACATTTTAAATTCTTTAAAATGAGTTGCCTCCAAAGTACGTGAGGCTGTCATTATTCAACATTTATACATTTTGCAGGAGACTTTGCAAAAGACCCTTGCACTGCTAAAATTAGAGATTAATGTTTTTAGTATTAAGTGGAGAAGACTAAAGCCTGATGAAGTATTCAAAATCCTGACATGCATTAACAAAGTCATCCAACTGACCTTCTTCAGTATCAAACAGTTTAACACAGTTTAGAGTGCGCACATGGAACTACCTGGAAGTGCACTTAAATCTGAGATCAGGAGGCATGTTTTTACACAAAGGGTTGTGGGAGTGTGGAACAAGCTACGCCGCCTTGTCGTTCAGGCTGAAACCCCTGTCTTCTTTCAAGAAATGGATGAATGAGATTCCTGGATCAGTTAATTATTAATTATTAATCTGTGTAAAATGACAGTAGGTTCAGACAAGATGGCAGTTCTTGCCTGAACTACATTCCCAAAAAATCAGAAGCTTCTAGTTGGCTATTAACCTCTGAGCGATGAAGCTACAAACTTACAAGCCTTTATATTTGGATGATTTCTGAGAGTTCTTGAAGCCAACAAGCAACATCCCTGCCTGGCAGTATTAATGGGGCCTATTGAAGACAATTTAACTTTACTTACTGTTTAAATAATAAATGGAAAATATAGATATTTTTCACAGTCTTGCTTAAAGTGGTCAGCTTATTCTTGCATATTTTGTTCTCTTACCAAGATGAAAATGACAGGGGTAGGTTTGGTGCGATATGTTCTACACAATGACATTAAGACTCTCAAAAGGGACTACGCAGTAAATATGGTATGATCTGTAACATTGGGCTGTATAGTATAGTAGTTTAGGACTGGACTGTGGAGTCCTGGGCTACCTGGGAAAGAAATCCCTACAACAGACAGTGTTCTTGTATCCTTCAGCAAGGAGTGCCACACAGCTGTATAAAAGTCCCAGTGTTGCTAGTAATTCTGTGAGCTATCCACATAATATAAGTCATGGCTCTCAGTCTTCTTAATATTAGAGAAACCGAGATATGTGAAGGTCTAATGAACTAGTAGGCTAATGTAAGGGAGTGTTTATTCTTAACAAAGCCAATTAAAATTATAGCAAGTTATGAGATATACTTGAAGTTATTGTTTGATAAAAAAAATCATTTTAAAAGTGTATAATCACACTTCATTGAAAAAAAAATTGTGAAACATAAATATCTGTAATTTAGGGCTTGTAGAACTACGGGGCAAACCAAATCTGGACCCAATCTTCAGTAATAAAAGAACCATAATTTTAACATTTTGTTTCTGAGTGTTTTAGTCAGGCTAAAATAAAAACGCACCTCAAATGCAAGCAGAAAATTGGTTAAATCAAAAGAAAATAGACTCCGTAAAACTCAACACTACTCTTCTCACATTTTAAATAGATTATTTTTCAAAAACAAATGACAAAAAGCCTGCCATCTCTTACCCAAGTCATATTTTTCCGATTTCTGGTATTATACTTGCATTCAGTGATCAAATTATCTCCCTAAAAAAAGAGAAAAACATTCAACGAACATCAGAATTTTGGTATATTCTGAAACCTTTCATCACAGAGAAAACAGAAAAAACAAGCAAACACTATCTTAAATAATAATTTATGTCAGACTGGTGGACCTCTGACATATTGTGGAACGTGTGTGCCGAAGATGTTTCCATCCAAACATTACTGAAATGAATCATTGGCCCTCACATTAATAAGAACATTGCACAATGCCATTTCTGCAACAATCTGGCCCTTACTGGCTCATCAGTATGACTCAAACTCTTAACTTAAACAAGAAGGCATACAGGTTTGTAGCAGACATAAAACCTGACAGTTCCTCACAGAAGTATTTCACCTGACTGAGAAGCTTCCATATTTTGCTGCCGTCCGAACTTGACAAAATTGTACTTTAAGATAGGCATTTGTATTTAGAATCTAAACAATCTGCAAAAAACGGATAAAACTACTGTAGGAAACGCTGTAAGTAACAAAATATTAATTTGATTTTTTGAAGTAGTTGCGTAAATTGCTATGGTTACCCTGAATCCAATCTGGTGCAAATGATTGGTCTGAAAAGTAAAAAAAAAAATAGGGAAATGGTTTCTGCCTGAGTGTAATCAAAGTATTTTAACTTGAAATTAAGTATTAAGTCTTACGTCACCCATGAATCTAAAAGTCGACTGAAAAACCACTTTTTTAAATGGTCTGATAAGAAGAGAGTGACTATCCCTGAGAGGACAAAGTCCTGACTTGAACACCAGGTGCAACATGTTGCCAACCCAGATGGCAACACATTAGAGTGACTTGCTTGAATACTAGCACACATTAATGCAAGCACATACTGTACCATGTAAGGCACTGCGTATTACATTTAGTTTCCTACCATATCAAGTCTTTAAAAAATCTGTTTTTTGACTTTGTAGACTTCTATGTTTCTACACGCCACACCTGGAAAAGGCCCCATAGTTTCTTATTGTTACTTTTCAGTGTGGAATTAACCTCTACATGTTCATTTGCTGTTCGCTCACTGACACAGCCCTCCATTTTATCTTCTATGAAAGACACCCAATTAATTTATTGTGCAATTTAATAAAAGTTGTGTCACGCACCCTCTGCAGCCAGAGGGCGCTCCTACTCTGTCCTGTCCCTAGTTTCCGGCTTTGCTGTCCTTCCGGTTTCCCTCTTTCCTTGGGCTATATATTTCCGGGTCACTTATTCTGCCTCGCTCGGCATTGACGTTCGGATGTCCTGAGACCCACCTAGCACCAGGTCGCCCCACGTCCGCTACCTGAGGGCATCGGTTTCTACACGGCTTCTCCAGAACAGCTGAGCCAGGGCTAACCCCCGTCTCGCCGCTACGCATAGGGTCTTTTCGCTCTCCTGCCATTCCATGGTTCTTCCCTTCTGACATCCGTGACAAAAATGGCTCCATAGCTCAAATGTTGTGTCTCTCTTCTTTTCTTTTCACCATGTAACTTTTTTTTTGTTTCCTATAAGATGTCAGTTCAGGTTTTCTTGAATGCACTGACACAGGCAAGTCATTAGAACCATGTACGTACCGGTAATATGAGTCTTTCTTCTTTGAGATACTGAAACTCCTGAAAATTGAAATCAAACTCGTTGTCATAAGCCAAGGGACGCAGCTCGTTGTCTTTTCTGAAGTGCCTTGCTCGCAGGGCTCTACCAGCAAGGTGAGAATGGAGAAGAACAGCAAACACTCGGATTCCTGCTGGCATTTCATGATCTAGTGCCTTTGAAACAAGAGAAACCTTTGTGTGTTAAAGTCACAGAAAGTAATAGACTATACAGCATATTTACCGTAAAAGCTTTGGATATACTGTATCTACACATACCTGTACAGTATACAGTACAGTACATACTGTATACTGTATGGTTACATAGTAGTGTATTTTAAGATCCCTCCCTTCCTTATATGCTGTGCTTGGAGTGTTCATTCTTTTCCCAGAGACATCAGTCAAAATGACAAGTTCCACATAACTAACCTATAGCAAGGGAAGAGGTTTGAGCAGAGTTTTGATTTGAACAAACTGTGCTTAAAATGCGTCCGGCATTTTTTACCTCTGCAAGAGTCTCCTTGCTGGAATATACAGTACAGTACTGCAGCATGTATAAAATAAGGTGCTTGAAATATACTGTAGTGGTTCATAATGATGTATGCGTTGATTTGAAAATGAAGACATTTATCTTAGAGACATTTATACTGTATATTGCTATGCTGTTCTGACTCTTCATATATGAGTAGATATTACTAATTCTGCATAAACACACAGAATATATATAGAGTATACTGTATAACATATAAAGTGGTGAATTAGACAAAAATGGCTCTTTATATTTTTCAAATTATAAACAAACTTTAACATTTTGATATTTAGATATTAAAGTCATTAACAAGGAAATTAATAAAAGATCTTATAAAAGGTGACAAAACTCTACAACAGTGGTTACATTTAATAAAAAGAAACCATGAAAACTAAATAGAGCATATAAAGCAAAATGCATAAAATGATCATATAAATCATAACTTAATATCAAGCGAACAATATTTCTTCCATGCAACACTGTTATCACGTAATGCGCATTTCAGGATAGTAAACAAATTAATTTGCCTTCTGTTGCTTGTCATACAAAAACTCTACAAAAAAATAAATGTATATTACTTTAGTTAACAGTATAAAATGTGAGAATTCATTTTTGTTCAATGTTAAAATTCCTAGTACCAAATCTTGCACCCAAAGTTCAACACAGTTACAGTAAAAAATATTTAATCCAGTACCAGTGAGAAGGACACTAATGGCACAACTGCATTGGTGTGGCGGAATGGTGGCTCTGTGGCCAAGGATCTGCGCCTGTGGCTGTAAGGCTGCTGGTTCAAATCCTGCAGTTGGCAAAGGAATCCTACTCCATTGGGCCCCTGAGCAAGGCCCTTCACCCCAACTGCTCCAGGGGTGCCATATATATGGCTGACCCCAAGCCTCTCTCCCTGTCTGTGTGTCTCATGGAGAGCAAGCTGGGGTATGTGAAAAGGCAAATTCCTAAGGCAAGAAATTGTATATGTCCAATAAAGTGATCTTATCTTATCTCGTATGTGGTATCCTGAATCAGTTCGGTATAAACACCAGTATACCCATTCTTTGAATTGTACAGTACCTCCTGGAGACATTCCATGGTACAATGGCCTTCCGAGATGTATTCAGGTAAGCCTGGTGGAAGCATGTGGTAAAGACTGACCCATACTCCAGTCTCAATGACACCTGCATCATATTCCCTCAGCACAGGAGTGTAGAAAAATCTGAGGCCGGAGCTGTCAGTTAAACCTAGGAAAGAAAACAATGCACAGTATGAATAAAGTCAAAATATGAACAGTAATAAGCAAACCAATGATATGGAATTCTTCTCTCCTATTAAAGCAAATAATCACCATTATAAAAACAAGGTTAAAGGTTTTTTTATTTATTTGTTTATTTAATAGACAACACTTCCTATTTAAAACTGTCAGTATACAGTAATTATCCACAGGTAGGATTACCTAAATATTCTATACTGGTATATTTGTTATGCGAGTTATTCTGAAAAGTGTTGGTCGCGGTATGCTCATTTTGGTTACGTAGCATAATTATGTTACATTATAGATCTATTAATTATCACTATTAATTATTAATTAATTATTAATTATTAATTCGTATTCTTATAAAGAATTTTCAACAAGATTATTCACCCTTCAGGTTAACCAGTTTAAAATCCAATATCCACACAACACTTGCTATTGATTTTTTCCCCCATAAATTATTTTATAATTCGTAGAAAACAAAAATCCCAAAGTCACTGGATTTATTGTACTGTACAGTGGTCCTATAGCTGCTCTAACTACTATTACAATGATGTATTCATACAATTTATATATTTTAATGTAGTGTTTCTTTAATTATAGATTTTTTAATACACAATGTTAAACATTTTAATGTTCCACATGCAAGAAATTAGCATTTTGTTGATTCTCCTTGTGCTAATAAGGGTGAAGATTGTCATTAGCTCCTGATTCTGACTTTATACTGCTAAAAGCAGAGTCCTGTGAGTGTCACG